ACATCGCAAAGTCCCGTCCAACATATAATAACACATCAATCACAAGATGATAACACTTATGAACAAATTATTGAACAGCCCCATACCACCGCTTTTCAATCTCAAAATAATAATTTTTTTAGCCCACGATGAGCCGCCAACTTGGATCACTACACCGATCAAATTCCCATCCAACCAATCTTACCTCTCCAATCCCAATCATACCACTTTTTGCTTTTCCGCCACCCGATTTCCCATCTAGCAATGTAACATCAGGCATGAATTCCGACACTAACTCACATATTTCAGTTTTATACTCCATCTCACAGCTAAATCACCCGAATATTGAAACCCCCGATGAATTTGCCGACTCAGAACCATCCCCATCCAATAATTTTCATAACTCTCTTAATTTTTCTCAACCCCCTTTTCAACCCATATTATCCAATAACCCTGACCCAATCACCCCCACACCCTCTTATGCTTCCCAAGTTACCCCAACCTATTCCTCATACCATTCTGACCAACCATCTCATTCTCCAGACACCCCCCGAATCTCCCCAGAGCTAGATAATTTTATTACCCTCCAACAACAACCCCACCACCTTAACACCCCGACCATAAACCAAATCTCCTCCACTACAAATTCATCCAATCCCCCTACACCCTCTTCAAATTATACTGAATCATTAACACCATCATCCACATCCACTATATCTTCACTAAACACTAATAGAGCTTACCGCACTTTTAAAAGAAAATTCCCCAACCATCCTTTCCCAGCAAAACCAGGAACAGCCCGTGAATACATCAACCACCCCCAGCATACTAACACTAAAGAATTTTTAGCTATCACTTTACCCTCGTTTCCACAATACACCTTAAATACCCCTCACGACGCTAACGAAACACGCAACTTTGTAGATGAATACGTTTTAATGCCCACTCTCTCTTGGACCTCATACTATCATTTCACTAACCCTCTTTGCTTACCTTTATCCAACACTTCCATCGATATAGAACGAAACAAAGACATGCTATATCAACTAACTACACCACTAACCGCTAGACAGTTTACTTACGTTGGATATAAAAAATCACTAAAAATACACACTGCACCTAGAGCTAATGAATATACACTAGAATACTACGATCACAACATCATCAGAGCTAACCAAGATCAATTCTTAGACGACGATCGCTTCGCTAATCCACAAATCACCGAGAAATTTTTCATCAAGACACCATATATATTTACACTAAACATCTTTGACCGAAAGTTTGATCACATTATTTCAGAAGCACTAACAAACACACAAGCATACGAAAGTTTTAAAGAACGCTTCCAAATCTTTTCACTAACCTTTCATTTCCTTGCACCACACGAAAGAGATTTGCACTGCTCACATGATATTATGTTGCGCACTAAACAAACACATACATACAGTTACTATCGTTTCATCCAAAATCACTTTGACCTCCACACACCCTCTAGACAACCACACCATCGTTTTCAATTCATCAATTCAAAATACACTTCACCGTATTTCCTAAATTTCACATATTGTATTAAAGACACTAACCTCCATGGTATTCTTCGTAATTATGACCCCATAACCCAAATGTACATTTTCTGCCCCATCACCAAGACCTTCAACGCCGAAGAATCCCGACCCTTCCTTATCCCGCACGAGTTTGTACAGCCTATAGAAATCCCAATTTTAGAATTCATCCACAACACTAAATTTAACCACAAATTATATAACTTAATCCAAAACACACCTTATGAATTTGCAGTAGGCACTGAAGAACTAACCACTATTAAGGCACTTCAATTGCTTTGGCCACTGCTTCAGACTAAAAATATCATCCGCATTCTAGCTAAACTACTAACAACTTCAGAACTAATTCACGACATCTTCCCCCACGGTTTTTTCCCCGACGACTAACAGGTAAGTATGAATTAAGTGAATATTACTAACTAATTAAAATATTAAAAAACTCACCATACTTTATCCATGTTTTCTTTAGATTTTTAGCCTTCATCCGACAATCACCTACAAAAACCACAAAAGACAAATAAAAATCGCAAATTTCATCAAACAGATTTCAAAAATTCTATTAATCTCTTACACTTATAAATTAATAAATTTAATACCAATGCAGTAAATTCATCTATAATATTTTCCCCCAAAGCAGTAAATCTAATTATGATGAAAATTTGTATCTTAAAATTCCTCCATAACTAGCAGTTAATTTCCAAATTCTATGCAGTAAATTAATAAAATGCAATTGCAGTACTAACCTTTTAATATTTTCATTCATTCGCACAGAAATTCTATCCACACTCGCACAGCTCGCCCACGAAGAATTGTTTAAAATAATGAACTTCAGTTTCAAGTTTTCACACTCAACAACTCTAACATATAATAACATGTTTCAAACTTTCCTTTAACCCGGTTGGAAAGGAATCATATACTAAACAAAACTAACCAACGCAGCTTACTAAATACCACAAATCATAGAATAACAGCATGACTAAGAAAAGGAAACCAACGGTACCCAAACCGGATTAACCCAGTTTAAAACTGGATAATTTATTCTTTTGAGGACTATTATAAAGTCTAAGAAAGAAATAATAAAACACAAAAAAGTCGAAAGACAAACCCATACCACAAACAATTTGATTTTTGAAAAAAGGACACAACCAACAAAACATAAGAAAGACCACAACAAACCCAACATAAAACGTTGTCACATAACAGGACCCCTCACAAAAACCGCATGAAATCATACTCCCACTCCTGGCCTAACCCACCAGGAAGGACGTCCTGAGCATGCTCTATAGCCGGCCTAACCCACCGTGCTACATCCACGCTTTGTGACCACACCTCTATTTTTAATAAGAGCTACTCAAGTGTGAGTAACTCTTCAAAATAACCGAACTAAAACAAAAAGCTTTTGTGAAAACAACTAACTAAAATCATAATTAAAAAATATTAAACTAATAAATGTTTTATAAAATGTAAATTACATTATGCAATACATAGATCAGAATACAACACCAAGGACGAACATCTAAAGACAAAACGACCCCACTACACTCGAGAGAGAATGACCAACCACAATCGATATGCCACCCACAATCACAACTCAAAGGATTTAGAGTACGACTTGACTTCGCAGAAAAGGACTTCATTGAACTAGACCAATGACCACCTCGATGTTCAAGTATACGTACAGATCCGAGTAACCAGGCATCCCCTCCACGCACAATCTCCACGCCATTCCCAAGTTAGATCAGACACAAAAGAAGTTCTCCACGAAGAACAGAAAAACCTGACATAGCCAACCATTCTGAAATCAGATTTGAGTTTGTTGCAAAGACTTAGTCGTTGTCACTAGAAGACACAACGTCTTATGTCTCTAACTCCAGCTTCCTGGAACTTCTTTAATAAAAAGGAAACAGAAGAAATAAGATGTTCGCCAAACACCAACGTCCATCATCCATCCTTCGAATTGCAGAAGAACTATTCTAAAAAACTCTGTAAAACCCGGATGGGTGGAACCTGATCTAAACTACATTTTATGATTGGATAATTTAGATATTTTACCAATGTAAAGTATTTAATATTAACCAATCATGATCCATCTAACTAACAACCCACTTATTTGTAAGTGCTGAAGTTACTTGTAATTTCAGCACCAGAGAGATTTGAATTTAACTTAGAAATTAGTTGGACTCTCCCGAGCACTTCAGCAGCCGCAATAAACCAGTATACCCTAGATCTATTGAGCCTAGCAGAGACTAGTTAAACAACCTGAGACTAGATAGTATAAGAGTAAGATTAGGATCGGTATTAGACTAAGAAGTTGCACGAATCTATCCGGCCGAAAATAAGATAGCGTGACGAGCAGACGGTGTACCCTATCCGAAATTACTCTATGAGTTATACACCCAAGACCTAACTCATAAGGTTTTTGACAAGAAAAATTAGAAGCAATCTAGATGCCTGATTGAGGAAAATTTTGGCTATTATTGATTGAAAAGGATGAAATTTGAAACAAAAGAAAGTGGGATCAAAGTGATCATTTATATTCAACTCTATTCTATTGAAAAACAGACACAATAACATATGATGCTAATTGGTTAAAGTTTTCTACAATTGAAAATATTTTCTCATCATTAGTGGAGATTATAATCGTTTATTATTGTGTTATGCAGTGGTAGGTAAACAATTATTTGGGCCCTTCCAATCAATTATGGACTGATGCATTTAATTAATTGGAATTGGCCAGTCTATTAATTAATTAATTGCAATTAATTGAATTTTTACTGAAACGTTAAAAGTAAACTGACAAAACTCAATTTTGAGTTTGATAAGATCAAAAAACTAAGAACGCTCCAGTTTTTTCATGGTTTCTTAACTCCAAAACTTTTTTGTTTCACTTCTTCGTCAACAATGACTGAAATTTTTGCCACAATTTTTGCCGAACTATCTTTCTCCGAGCTGGTTATTCTTTCACAAAACAATAATGGAGTAGCAAGTTTGAAATGGTGGATAATACATGCATTTAGCACTGTTATGATAGAAATTTTAACTCTCTTAGAGAAGGTGCTGGTACTAAAACTATACAATAATCGGTTATAAATGTTTGAAAGTGGATGCGGGTAAATCATCTAAAACTGTAAGCTCAAAATTGAAAAATCCCAGCGAAAAACAACATAGTTTTTATATATTTTTTTTCCAAAAGCTTTGTTCTCTTCGGTGCTCGTAATTATCTGCGGGTCATATAATTATTTGATAAAATTTGCTTCACTTGAAGCGCCGGTAGTTCCAAACATTTACATCAAAAACAATCAACCAATAAATAAAGGCTTCAAATATCACTGGTTTGTTGTGAACTGACAAACACACTTTATAACCTGTCAAAAAATGGCTCCATTTTTTATTACTACCACACTTTACGGCAAACTGAAGAAATCACTCAATATGGTGGAAAATATTATTCAAATAGGCGCCTCTCTACTGATCAAGTAATTGAACGCTATCATTTGTCTTATGTTCGAAAACTTCTGGTTAAGAATCTTGAACTAGTCTTCCCAAACAGCTGCTCAATGCAACTACATAATTGAAGATTTTGCTGACTGCGTGATAAAAACACGACACCAAAAAAAACTAAAAGCCAAATATTATCTGGAAAATCTAGAAAAAATCATAAAGATTATGAGTTCGAAACTAACAGCTTTGGAGTTGGAAGACTATCGCGAGGTGTTTAATGACTTTGACGCTGACGGATCAGGTAAAAAAGTTTTTTTTAGTGAAGTTTGCCCGTATTTTAAACTTTTGTTCAACCAGTCAGACATTTCTTTAAATTTAAAATTCATTTTATCAAGTTCCGCAGATGAAGGCTTGACTGTAAAAAAAATATATTTTTTTCTATGACCAGGTCGATTTGCTTTCGAAGATTTTGATGCAATTCTTTTTTTAGTCAATGATTTTGGGTCGAACTTTGACTATGCCATTCAATAACTGAAGTTTTTTTCGTTCTGTTATTACAATGTTTTGTTGTTTTTTCAATTGGGATTTATTCATCTTTTCGTACCACCTGTAATGGTTTTTTAATATTCAGAGCAAAGAGATGTTTTTAAGAGCAAATTTGTTGAGTAACGATTTTGAAATCGTTCATCGAATATGCAGATAACCCGGGCAATAAAAATATGCAGCCGTACGTCGCACCATGCATGATTCTATGGATACCATGGAAAAGTGTGGAAGTACATCAATTGTAGGTACCATTTTTTCCATGAATGGCGCAACATTTGGTAGCACTTTTTTGGTAAGGGGGAACTGAAAATTCAATCAATTATAAGGGCTGTTAAGAAGAGATATATCACCATAAGCTCTCGCAGCTTATGGCTGCTATGGTCTCATATATGCCGCAACCTGCCATTATATTCTGTAATGCTAACAAAAGGTACCCTTACTTGCAATTTAAAAACTAAGTGATATTTTTATCGCATAATCACGTATTAATTAAAAATAACTGCTTGTATTTGGGATACGCCTTGAATGACCAGACTGTTTTTCATTGTCTATTGCTTAGTCTTCAATTTAAAAGAATTGGATGAAAAATCTTCAAAAACAAAATTTGTTTTCAAAAACCATTCCTATTTAAAAAAAATTAAAGTAATATATGGTCTCATCTGAACAAACTCCCCCTTAATAGGCCAAGTGAACAACCTGTCCCTGAAACTCAATGGCAACTTCAAGCCTGCATGTACTATGCTCAAATCTGATTGGCTGAATATATTACTTTTAGACAAAGTGAATGATTTCCCCTAAAATTGATTTAAGGGGTAAATTGATCAAGTGGTCCGAGATATGTAGCATTCAGTAATGTATCAATAAGAAAAAATTAGCGTAATAAAATTCAAATTGGAAGAATTTCGTAGTCGGATGAGGTCAAAATCCAGTTTTTCACTAATTTTAAAAAAATTCAAACAATATTAAAAAAACTCGTCAATAAAGAAAAACTTTTTTCATGACCACTTCAGCCATTCAAGACCACGAAAATTGATAACAATTTGACAGTAATTATAGTTTGTTTGAGTCATGTAGCAAGTTGTGATTGCGAAGTTTATAACTGTTTTGAGTTAAATTGTTTGTTGTGATTGTGATTTATTTCTGTTTAGGCCAGGTCTCAAATGAGGAGTTGAGGAAGATGTTCCAGTCTTTGGGCCAGGAGGTCACCCAGAAAGAAGTGAAGGAACTGGTGGCAGAAGTGGACAAAGACGGTTAGCATACCCATTTTCTAAAACATTCTACGAAAATTTATTCTTTTCATTCTTCGAAAACCAGAGGCTACTACTTCAGAAATTTTAAGCAACTACATTTCTTCAGCATTAAGCTTATAATTACTGGACAGCCGTATTGTAAGTATCATCTATGAAATCTCTTATGGCGACAGCAGTCCACCTGAAGTAGAAATACGAACCTGTAGTACCAACAAAAGAGGGTATTTTTCTCTTTCCCCCACATTTTGTTTGCAGAGTTTTACCAAGGGATGACTTGAGAACAGTTTACATTTAATTTTGTTTGAACAATCTTAACATTTCTCTAACGGTTCTTTTGACGTCCTTATAAACGATTTTGAAGACGAACATAAGCCAAAACATTGATTTTTGAGTCAAAATTTTTCAAAACTGCCCTACAACGTCTGCTTTGGCCGAAATAGACAAATTGTGATTTTTATCACAGGCACTACGAGGCCAAACTGTGCAATCTGTGCATTGCAAGCCAATTCCACAAGAGTCCAAAATCAGATCTGTTGCTGAATATGCAAAAAGGCTCTTTTTCTTCGATTTTCTTTGCTGTTTTGAATTTCACAAGCATATACCTAAAACACTGTACCATTTTAAATCGCTCCAAAAATAGGCGATTTTGCGCAATCCGCGACAGTTTTTGCAGAAAACGGAACCTTTTGTGGAGTCCACAAGCAATCAATTAGACATGAGTATAGTTAAAATTTGTTCAAATTCGCAACTGTAAACGGAATCCGCTTATTGTAAGTGTTGTGCGCAAGTTGTCAGTGGAATCTGCAAATAGTTAGTGGAATCTGCATTTTGGTTTCCTAAAATCTCACCTCTCATCGTTTTTTGTTAAACTACTTATGGTTGTTAAATGGTAAAACAAATTGAAGCGAGCATATTTCTTGATATAAACAATAAAATTATTACAAATTTTAATCTGAAAAGTTTCAGAACCAACATATTTTGCGAGATTTTTGAAATGAATAATTTTTATACAAACTACTTTTCAAATCCTTTCATGCTATACGCATGCGGGACCTGTATATCATAGTTGCTTTTTTGAGGGACCCTTCTATCATAGTAGTACCTAGGGTGTATTTTGGGTGTTCTTTCACCTCATCTCAAAAACTGCCCTCATGATTCGGCTTTACTCTCAACTTATCTCAAAACCTGCCCTCACGAGTTGAACTTATTGTATCTATCTTCTTATTCCAATTAATGCTTTCATTATTTTGATTCACTCTCCACCAACTAGATCAAAATTTGGGAATATGCGAATCCCAAAAAATGTCTTAATTTGGTGATATGCTGTGCGTTGTCTTTCCAAACACTCTCAACCTATTAATCCAAGTATTGAATTTATTTGGCATTGAGTTCCCAAAACTATGATCCGCAAATTGCTCGCCGGGATATGCATTCCAAATATTAAATGGTGACATCAACCGATGCTTATTTAATTAACCAATGTTTTAAGATTTGTTGGTTGAATCCAGTGACAATGGTTAAGGATTTGCTTTTAGTTTTCGGTTTGCTATAGATAACATTTCTAGCTCTAGCTTTTAATTGTTTATTTGCAAACTCGGTTACCAAAAACAATCGCATTACAACGGAGAGAAAGTGTCGAAATTTGAAAGAATATTAGTTCCTAACTGATAAAAAGTAAAAGCCAACCTTTCATCTTGTTTTTCAAATAAAAAATGACTTATTTAAAACAATTTTAGCTTAGTTTTGTTGTACTAATTTATATTCTATGTTCAAGAAAAAGAATATCCTTAAAATTTTTTTTTCAAAAATAATTCAAACAAGGTTCTTCAAAAAAAAGTTTTGATTTTTTGAAAGGGTTAAAAACATTGAAAAGAATTGTTGTTCTTTTTCAAACATTTTATTGGTTTTATTATTTTTTAAATTTCTGTTTTTAATGAGGTCACTAAAAACTGAAACGCTAATTTCATTTTTTGCCAAACTCAAATAGTTAACGATCCGCTACACGGAATCCGCGACACAACAAATGTTTCGACAAAATTCACATTACAGGTTTTTGTGCGCGGAACCCACGGAAACTATTGTAAGAAGAATCCACATACATTTTCGAAACATTTGAAGATTTTTTCTGGAATGCAGGAATATACAGACGCAAAATTGTGCACCTATCCAGTGCACAGTCTGTCCTCTTTTTGGCAAAGCTCGGAAAACCAACTTTGCTGATTTTAAAAAAATGTCTAAGAATTTCAAACTAAAAGAAACACTCCCAAATATAAACTAACTCTCAGTGTTCTCGGAGTTGCAATATTACAAAAATTCTGGGAGAAAATACATTATATTTCATTTTTTCTTGCCAGATCTTTGCAATATGTGAATTGATTTGCAAGAAATAAGTAAGGTTTAGGATTCTAAGGCATTCTAGTTTTTAATTAGAATCTTAAAAAAATACTTGGGAAGAAAAAATTTAAGAAACCAATTATGTTAGTAACTAGAATTTTCTTATCCCTTATTAAAATTAACGACATTAACTCAGTGGTTTGAGGGAGAAAAGTGAAAAAATTCATTTTACAAGTTTTTTGAACCTTCTAAGTGTTAACAGTAGCCATGACCGTTGCCTAGATAACCAAATATTGTGGCAAATTTAGACTACATAATGAATTTTTGATCCATTTTTATCGGTTATTTTCAAAAAAAGCCATTAAAACCCCTTATAATTGATTATAGCTCAATCGAAATGACTATTTGTTTTCGAAATGACTATTTTTTTGTTCAAAAAATCAAAGAAAATGGATTTTTTTGTAAATAGTTTGGGTGTTCTTTCACCTCATCTCAAAAACTGCCCTCATGATTCGGCTTTACTCTCAACTTATCTCAAAACCTGCCCTCACGAGTTGAACTTACTCTATCTATCTTCTTATTCCAATTAATGCTTTCATTATTTTGATTCACTCTCCATCAACTAGATCAAAATTTGGGAATATGCGAATCCCAAAAAATGTCCTAATTTGGCGATATGCTGTGCGTTGTCTTTCCAAACACTCTCAACCTATTAATCCAAGTATTGAATTTGTTTGGCATTGAGTTCCCAAAACTATGATCCGAAAATTGCTCGCCGGGATATGCAATCCAAATATTAAATGGTGACATCAACCGATGCTTATTTAATTAACCAATGTTTTAAGATTTGTTGGTTGAATCCAGTGACAATGGTTAAGGATTTGCTTTTAGTTTTCGGTTTGCTATAGATAACATTTCTAGCTCTAGCTTTTAATTGTTATTTGCAAACTCGGTAACCAAAAAAAATCGCATTACAACGGAGAGAAAGTGTCGAAATTTGAATGAATATTAGTTCCTAACTGATAAAAAGTAAAAGCCAACCTTTCATCTTGTTTTTTATTTAAAAAATGACTTATTTAAAACAATTTTAGCTTAGTTTTGTTGTACTAATTTATATTCTTCCGCAAAGCTGGCCGCGTTTTTTCTTCGATGTTATGAGTTCGATGATATGTTCAAGAAAAAAAATATCCTTAAAATTTTTTTTTCAAAAATAGTTCAAAAAAGGTTCTTCAAAAAATTTTGATTTTTGGAAAGGGTTAAAAACATTGAAAAAAATTGTTGTTCTTTTTCAAACATTTTATTGGTTTTGCTATTTTTTAAATTTCTGTTTTTAATGAGGTCACTAAAAACTGAAACGCTATTTTCATTTTTTGCCAAACTCAAATAGTTAACGATCCGCTACACAGAATCCGCGACACAACAAATGTTTCGACAAAATTCACATTACAGGTTTTTGTGCGCGGAATCAACGGAAACTATTGTAAAAAGAATCCACTTACATTTTCGAAACATTTGAACATTTTTTTCTGGATAGCAGGAATATACAGACACAAAATTGTGCACCTATCCAGTGCACAGTCTGTCCTCTTTTTGGCAAAGCTCGGAAAACCAACTTTGCTGATTTTAAAAAAATGTCTAAGAATTTCAAACTAAAAGAAACACTCCCAAATATAAACTAACTCTCAGTGTTCTCGGAGTTGCAATATTACAAAAATTCTGGGAGAAAATACATTATATTTCATTTTTTCTTGCCAGATCTTTGCAATATGTGAATTGATTTGCAAGAAATAAGTAAGGTTTAGGATTCTAAGGCATTCTAGTTTTTAATTAGAATCGTAAAAAAATACTTGGGAAGAAAAAATTTAAGAAACCAATTATGTTAGTAACCAGAATTTTTTTATCCCTTATTAAAATTAACGATATTAACTCAGTGGTTTGAGGGAGAAAAGTGAAAAATTTCATTTTACAAGTTTTTTGAACCTTCTAAGTGTTAACAGTAGCCATGACCGTTGCCTAGATAACCAAATATTGTGGCAAATTTAGACTACATAATGAATTTTTGATCTATTTTTATCGATTATTTTCAAAAAAAGCCATTAAAACCCCTTATAATTGATTATAGCTCAAACGAAATGACTATTTGTTTTCGAAATGACTATTTTTTTGTTCAAAAAATCAAAGAAAATGGATTTTTTTGTAAATAGTTTGGGTGTTCTTTCACCTCATCTCAAAAACTGCCCTCATGATTCGGCTTTACTCTCAACTTATCTCAAAACCTGCCCTCACGAGTTGAACTTACTCTATCTATCTTCTTATTCCAATTAATGCTTTCATTATTTTGATTCACTCTCCACCAACTAGATCAAAATTTGGGAATATGCGAATCCCAAAAAATGTCCTAATTTGGCGATATGCTGTGCGTTGTCTTTCCAAACACTCTCAACCTATTAATCCAAGTATTGAATTTATTTGGCATTGAGTTCCCAAAACTATGATCCGAAAATTGCTCGCCGGGATATGCATTCCAAATATTAAATGGTGACATCAACCGATGCTTATTTAATTAACCAATGTTTTAAGATTCGTTGGTTGAATCAAGTTACAATGGTTAAGGATTTGCTTTTAGTTTTCGGTTTGCTATAGATAACATTTCTAGCTCTAGCTTTTAATTGTTATTTGCAAACTCGGTAACCAAAAAAAATCGCATTACAACGGAGAGAAAGTGTCGAAATTTGAATGAATATTTGTTCTTAACTGATAAAAAGTAAAAGCCAACCTTTCATCTTGTTTTTTAATTAAAAAATGACTTATTTAAAACAATTTTAGCTTAGTTTTGTTGTACTAATTTATATTCTTCCGCAAAGCTGGCCGCGTTTTTTCTTCGATGTTATGAGTTCGATGATATGTTCAAGAAAAAAAATATCCTTAAAATTTTTTTTTCAAAAATAGTTCAAACAAGGTTCTTCAAAAAAGTTTTGATTTTTTGAAAGGGTTAAAAACATTGAAAAGAATTGTTGTTCTTTTTCAAACATTTTATTGGTTTTGCTATTTTTTAAATTTCTGTTTTTAATGAGGTCACTTAAAACTGAAACGCTAATTTCATTTTTTGCCAAACTCAAATAGTTAACGATCCGCTACACAGAGTCCGCGACACAACAAATGTTTCGACAAAATTCACATTACAGGTTTTTGTGCGCGGAATCCACGGAAACTATTGTAAAAAGAATCCACTTACATTTTCGAAACATTTGAAGATTTTTTTTCTGGATAGCAGGAATATACAGACACAAAATTGTGCACCTATCCAGTGCACAGTTGTCCTCTTTTTGGCAAAGCTCGGAAAACCAACTTTGCTGATTTTAAAAAAATGTCTAAGAATTTCAAACTAAAAGAAACACTCCCAAATATAAACTAACTCTCAGTGTTCTCGGAGTGGCAATATTACAAAAATTCTGGGAGAAAATACATTATATTTCATTTTTTCTTGCCAGATCTTTGCAATATGTGAACTGATTTGCAAGAAATAAGTAAGGTTTAGGGTTCTAAGGCATTTTAGTTTTTAATTAGAATCGTAAAAAAATACTTGGGAAGAAAAAATTTAAGAAACCAATTATGTTAGTAACCAGAAGTTTCTTATCCCTTATTAAAATTAACGACATTAACTCAGTGGTTTGAGGGAGAAAAGTGAAAAAATTCATTTTACAAGTTTTTTGAAACTTCTAAGTGTTAACAGTAGCCATGACCGTTGCCTAGATAACCAAATATTGTGGCAAATTTAGACTACATAATGAATTTTTGATCCATTTTTATCGATTATTTTCAAAAAAAGCCATTCGAAATTACTATTTGTTTTCGAAATGACTATTTTTTTGTTCAAAAACTCAAAGAAAATGGATTTTTTTGTAAATAGTTTGGGTGTCCTTTCACCTCATCTCAAAAACTGCCCTCATGATTCGGCTTTACTCTCAACTTATCTCAAAACCTGCCCTCACGAGTTGAACTTACTCTATCTATCTTCTTATTCCAATTAATGCTTTCATTATTTTGATTCACTCTCCACCAACTAGATCAAAATTTGGGAACAAGTTCATCCTCATGTTCATTAATCACCATTACCATGGCCCACGCCAACCCTCACCCCTCCCCTTAAAATCGCCATACCCACGTCCCGCCGAGCCTTTCAATCTCACTAACCCCCCGCACTTCCCCCAAATCCCCCGCGTTTGTCCCACCATCAACAAACAACCCATTCCACATCCATCACCCAGTGGAATAGATAACTATTGGGGGGGTATCCAGGGGTAGGGGGTAAACATCGGGAAGAGCGGGGAGGGATTTGCTGTCGGTCAGGTTGTGGGAATAGCGAGTGAAACTGAATATCAAAAAAGTGTAACTTAACATTAACAGCGATAGAAATTTTAAAAACTAAAACGAGATTTTTTGGTTCAAAACTTATTAACAATATAATTCATTTATAAACAATTATAATCAATTGATTTCGAGTTTTAGATACGCAAATCATAAAAATCCAGTTTAATTGATTGTTTGACTATTTTAGGCAATGGGGAAGTGGACTTCGACGAGTTCTGTGAGATGATGACCAAGAAGACGGCAGAGCAGGGTGAGGTGGACATCGAGACAGAACTGAAAGACGTGTTCAAACTATTTGACAGGTTATAGGCGCACATTATCTTCTCTTTTTTCTTTCAATAACCCAAACAAAACTTTGAAGATAAATCAATGAAATAACAGCTGTTGTAGCTATTCTTAAAATACAAGTAGTTATTACATCCGATTAGCGGTTCCTTGAAATGTTGCTGCAGATTATATCCCGGTTTGCGGGAGTAATTACTGGATTTCGCGGACGTTAAGTGAAAGTACGGTGACTCATTTTATCAAACAATAGTTCGGCTAAATTCCAGACCACTATTGTGACCAAAGTTCTTTTTTTTAGAATTAGGCCGCGACTATAAAACTCTGCCAAGAAGTTTTATTTGAGGAATTATTATCAGCGCGAATTTTAATGTATGGAAATTAACGAAGACTTGACCCCGAAAAGGAGGTTAAAAATCCACTTGCACTTATTCCAAGACTAAACTGGGTTTTATTTCAGGAACAACCAGGGCTACATCTCATTCGGCGATCTGAAAAAGTGTCTGCAAATGCTCTCAATTAACTTGCCAGATGACAAGATCCAGAACATGATGAGGGAGGCGTCTTCCGGTCAGGATGGGAGAGTGTATTATGACGACTTTCGATACATGTACTTCTGCTGAAAGATGATGAAAAAAAGAGTACTAACATAAATTTGAGCGACAACTTATTGGATTCATTAATTATTGGATATGCAATTTAAACAATATCGGAAAAGTGTTTTTTTTTTAAATAATATTTCAAGCATCAAATTATAAGTTGGTCAAAAATACAGCTTTGCATAAGTGTAGGTTAAATAATCAAACCTAATAGTTACTTTCTCTACAATGGATCAGAAAAAAAAAAACAGTTAGAAGCACCTTTGATCGCGCTAAAACTAAGGTTTTGTAATTTTTTAACAGATCCTGACAAGATAGGCCGCCTTTTTTGACAAGAGTTCGCACTCAAAACTGTTGTATACTGGCACTGGAAGCGTTTTTACAATTTTTTTAGTCATTGCTCGTCCATAATCGCTGTATAGAACCATAGGTCAGCGATCGAAATCCGTAGGGACCCCCCTCCCCCATATACCTAAATCCAGAACTCGTTAAACTATAACACAAAAAATTGAGAAATACAAAATGCATTTGGAATTCAGTGAAAAGATTTTAGCAGTCAAACTAAATATTAAACGGACAGACTAAAGACAAAAGTTCTTTTTTTAGTTTTTGTTTTCAAACAGACGCCGTGTTCACCAATTACATGACGTCAGAAAACAAAATACAATCTTCATTTTTTCAAAAAACATGCTCAATGTATATAAAATTTTACATTAAAAATAAAAGCGTGAAATCATGAGAAAAAAACGATGTATAATCTACGAGTCTTGAATATGAATATTTGACAAAGTAGACAATTGAACAACTATTTAAATCTGCTTACCGTTCAGTTTTGTAACGTTTTTCTTACCAAACAAAAGCTAAATATATCAAATAAAGGAGACCAAAGAGATTTTGTCTTGAAACAGACGAAGAAACGAAACACGAGTATCGAAAAAGAGGAAAAAATCTAAAACAAAGTTCTGTCAAAAACTGAGAAAAAAGAGATTTTATTGAAATGGCGAAGAGAAATCTGACTAAATTGGAGACGGAGGAGATGAGAGAAGTGTTCGATGACTTCGACACTGACGGCTCAGGTTAGTAGTTATAACTTATAAGAAGTAAAATAACTATTTATAGCTTACAATTAATTGGCTTCCAACTTTTTCCTTCCTGATTTTTCTGAATCAATAATTTTTTTTTGAAATATTTGCTCTGACAACTTTTTTTGCAATTATTGTATAATTATGTGTCAAAATTGTGATTGTGAAATGTTGTATTTGAGGATTGAGAGTTCTTGAAACAGTAAGCAACTTTTTGCACGAACGTTCTAACAGGCTGAAAAGCTTTAAATTTGGTTATTTATCCAACGTCGAAATCAATTCACCGTCAAATTAAAAAGTAAAAAATAATAATTTTGAAAGTTTTTGTAGGTGTTGTTTAACTTTAAGTTTTTACCAACTAAACTATCTGTTGCAATAGAAACCTTTATTTAATGTTTCAATTTGTTCTGCATGTGTTCTATAGGCACCGTGAACATCGCTGAGTTGCGTGACATGTTGGAACTTCTGGGTCAGAAGGTGACAGAGAGTGAACTGAAGAAGATGATGGGGGAGGTGGATGTAGATGGTAAGGGAACTACTTTTAGAGCACAACTACCTGACAATTTAGACCGGGAAGCTAGAAGTGTGTGTGTGTGTGTGTGTGTGTGTGTGTGTGTGTGTGTGTGTGTGTGTGTGTGTGTGTGTTTGTGTGTTGGGGAGGGGGGGGGGGTCGCTGAATAGTTTCAAGTGTAAATAAAAGTCTTTTTTTTCTACAAAAAATAGTTCCCTTTTTAAAGAGTATTCATCTCAGTGGTGATAAGATTTAACATAAAAATTTGAGTAAATTGCTATCTTTTTTTAAAAAACAGATCACAAACTCAGTCAAAAAATATGCTGGAATAGAACAAGGTGCGGATCTAGGATTTTATCATCGGGCTCGAAAATTTTGTCGACCTTTTTTATTTTAGGTACACCGAATTGACTTTCCAAACGCTCTCGGAACACTATAAGGACTCTATTTTGACCAAAAAAAAACGTAGCGCTGCAGGCAAGTCCTTGAACAAAAAAACATGTCAAAAATGCCTTCTGTGGGTACTTTTTGGAAACTTCCAAGCTAAAATTTGCGTTCTTTCGACACGAGTTGCTCTTCAAAATTAGGATAAAATGGCGCCTTCGATATTTTAGTGTTGCTCGGCCGAAAAGGGATGGCATAAAATAATACCAAATGGGGACACTTTGGTTGGTGAGGGGGTCGAATCCTTTAATGAAGCGTCCAAACCCTTCCCTCTTCCCCTCCACTTTCTTTAAATCCGCCCCTTGATTTGAACCACTTTAAACGAGCTTTGTCATACACAAGAAAAGTGCAATTAAATGATTCCAGCCTCCATTATAATCGATTGTAATCCATTTTTTGGCATTTAAATCCATTAATTTTTCCAAGATCAAGATAATCCTTTATTATCGATTATTTTAAACTAAACGCCAATTATAATCCATTATAATCGATTAAAAATCATTTCATCTTATAAGAAATTTCATCTTATAATCTTATAAAAAATTGCAAAATGTAAGGGGGAGGGGGCGAATGAGGGTTGTAATAAAGCACAGTAAAATGAACTGTCAAAGTGCAATGAATTGAATAAGTAGAGACAAAACAAGTAGAGACAAAACTTTAATGTGAAAGGTAACTTTTTTTGAAACGTGGTACGTAGCAACTGCACTAAACAGTAAATGAGATAAGATTGTAAATTTCATGAAAAATTTCTGGAAAAAACCAATTCTAATCGATTATAATGGATTATATTGGCAGAGAAAATACGATTATAATGGATATTTTCAATGGACATTTTTAATGGATTATAATCGATTATTTTGTAATTTTAAAAACACTGACCATATTATGACAATATAGTTGATTATGATCCATGAACGCTTGGTGCGGTAGACAGATATTCCCCAGTTGATTTATAATGCAAACCTTGTAAGATTATGGCAAAATAAATTAAATCTTGCAAGATTGCTATCTAAACTTTAACATTGTCTTCAAAGAATATTGCAGAATTTTTGCAAGATTATCATTTTTTTAACCACGTAGAAACTTCTTTGATAATTTATGCTTTATGATTTTTAAACAGACATCTGATTTGGCCGACGTTAACATTTTTTGTCCTCAACCTTTTCAGTAGAGTTACTTAGAGGAACATAAGTATCTGATTATATACTTAACCAATGTTTGAAAACTATAATTCTCCTCTACTTATTTTGAATGTAGTTCAATAAAATGCTGTATATATTTTATCAACATTAATTTCTGAAAGTTTTGAGCAATTTTATTACTTTTTTTTAAATCTACGAAAAATGTAACGCAGCAATCTCAGCAGTGATTTTTGGATTATTATCTGTAAATTTCTGGCGGAATCTTAAAAAAGTGGTTATTATAAAAAATGTACAAATTTGTTAAAATAGTTTTTAATTTGGATTTCAAATCTTGCAAAATCTAACGAAGTGAAGGCAAAATTTGCATGGAAAAGGCAAGAAAATGCATCTCCTTGCAATTTCGAGAAGACTGGACTTGCAAATTCGCAATCAGAAAGTTCAAAATTGGCGCTGTTTTGCGACCTCCGCTCATTCAATCTAGCAACAGTGTAACGCGTGCTTTTATACGTCATTTTCTAGTTGAAACAACAAAGAGGCGCTCAAAGTTTGCGTAATTGATTATTTTTGGCATTTCAGAAGAGTTACTATTTTTTTTTGAAATACCTAAAGAAAAAGTAGTTCGAAAAAAATCTTCAGGTTATCCAATTAGCCGCTCCTTTCCTCCTCCGGCATTATCTCGTGAAAATCTTAAAGCGTTTTTGTTATGCAGCTGGAATACAAAATTTAAACGAAAATTTTGTTGCTAGAGAAACCAGCGACAACAGTTCTTACGTTGATAAGCAAATTCGCCAAGCGCTTGATAATTTAGATTTGTTTCCAATTCAAAAATTTTGTGGTAAAAAAATCAAAGTCTGTGGAAATCTAACCAGAACAAAAGTAACCGAGTGTGGCGTCGTAATAAAGATCCAATTGTGTGAAAGATGACAGTCAATTTATAATTCGTCTTATAACCAGAAAAAAAACAAATAGCCATGTCAAAAACATTCAGAGAAAAAATTCCAGCCATTTTCGAGTAGAGCATATAGAAGTATGCTTGGTGAGGCCCCTTATTGAATTAACTCACAAAAAAAAAATTGCTCAATTTTCTTGCTAGTTTTGAAATAGCCGAGTGGACTAGAGTGAAGGAAGGATTCTGCCGCAAAATTAATCAGCAGCGAAAGAAAATTGCGCTTGCATTTCATAATCACAATAATGACTTTTTTCCAGTGTAGGTCGAAATTCATCGAAATAGTTGTTACAAAAACTCTTAATCTTGAACACTAATTTTAATTGGTTTATAGGAAGTGGGGAGGTGACATTCGAGGAGTTCTGCGACATGATGGCCCAGAAACAGACTGAGGGGGGCAATGTGGACATCGAGACTGAACTGAGGGATGTGTTTCGCATGTTCGACAAGAAGGACCAGGGATACATAACCTACAGGTAGAAAAATAGTTAAACAAAAATAAATACTTTTTTTCTTGAAGGGAACATTTTGTTTATAAGTTACATAATTTATGGAAAAAAGCTACCTCAGAAAAACATCAAAAAGCCAGTTAGCTGCGAAGAAAAAACAAATTATGGTTTAGTGGAATGGTTGGTTCATGGTTTTGAAACTTATGTTTACGTCCAAGAATAATAAAAAACCCATCAGGTTAATAAAAAATCTGTTTTAACCGACGAGGTAGTGTTACCTATTGTCTCTGGACTCTTAAAAGCTGCGATCGATAATTTTTTTTAAGTTTAAGCAATAAAAAAGGTTTTTTTTGTGATTTTTCAATTTTCTATCATTCTGTCATTTTAAACATGGAGGCAACAAACAACTAAAGTATATTAAAAAAAGGCGTGTAATAATTTTACAACCTATTTTTTCCTTAGTGACCTGAAGCAGATTCTGAAGATGTTGTCAATCAGCTTGCCAGATGAGAAGATCCAGAACATGATGGCGGAGGCCTCCTCTGGCGGAGACAACCGCGTCTACTTCGACGACTTCCGATACATGTACTTCTGCTAACACCTCTTTTCTCACACTCACTGTGTCAGACTCCTTCACTGAGAACTGGTGAACTAGTTCTACTAATCGCTTGTAGTTAATTTACGTTAATTTTCTCTCTGTCTTTTAAATACGTATAGTTATTGAGTAACTAGCGGTTAAAATTAGTTCAGTAGCGGAAAAAAGTTATATGCCTTATGCTCGCTCCAATCTCAACTCTGAAAAACCTGAAAACAATACAACCCAAACAGTTGAATTAACGGTAATTATTTCTCGACAAATAAATCCGACAATCGGTAGTTTTAAACATTTTTGAATCGTTCATAACAACAACAATTTGTAGCTTAAAACTCAAAGTAAGCTCTGAAAATACTAGTTTTTGCACTTTAGACAAATTTCTTTTTCTTGGATGTCACACTTAATCAAGTCTGAACCATGTCAGGGAGAAAAATTGGTTCAAATTGAGTATCACCCCAAAATTTAGCATGTTATAACATGGGTAGGTGTGGGTCTAGAACCTGTGCCGAACCGGTCAACCTAATGTCTAGCGTTTGTCTTCTGCCCGCAAAATTTTAGTCCAACAAAAATACAGCCTACTTGCATTTGTACTTCCATGCTTGAGCGTGAACATGCCTTATTATGAAAGCTGGATCTGGGTGTTTTTTTTTCACGAAATTTTAAGGTTATCCCACAGCGGAGTTCCAGGGATAATACTCGCTTTTAATGGAAAATTGTTGTCGAAAAAGTTGTCCTTATAATCCATTATTGTTGCAAACTCAGACCAGGATATCGATTATATTGTCATAAAAAGCGACTATTTTCAGAAAAATACAATCCAATAAAATACATTATAGTTGATTATAACGAATTAAAATTTATACATTTTTTTGCAAAATGAATTGCAAAACTTGCAACTTTTTTGCGTTACTCACGGCCTACTCGCAATCTAAATTAACGACCCCCCTAACTTTGCCCTCTATCCGCATTTGCCCCCTCCCCCCTCCCCCTCTCTTACCCGCATTTAAACCACTCCCCCCTACGTTTATTCCTACACCCACCTCCATGTTTACTAAAGGATACACCCAATCACACCCCAATATACAGTTCACCCCCGTTCTCCTAATACTCAGATTGCTTACCATTGAACGGGGACGGGAAATGGAGGTTACAATGTGAACAACACCTACTTATCCTCATTTAACCCCCTCAACCAAAATTTTTTACTCCACACCTCCCCCATTTCGAAGTTTTTAACCCCCCTAATTAACTAACGACCCCCCTAACTTTGCCCTCTATCCGCATTTATCCCCTCCCCCCTCCCCCTCTCACACCCGCATTTAAACCACTCCCCCCTACGTTTATTCCTACACCCACCTCCATGTTTACTAAAGGATACCGCCAAACACCCCCAAGTTACAGTTTACCCCCCTTCTCCCACCCCTCAGATTGTTCACCATTGAATTGGGACGGGAAAGGGAGGTTACAATGTGAACAACACCTTTTTATCCCCATTTAACCCCCTCGACCAAATTTTTTTATTCCACAGCTCCCCCCCCCCATTTCCCAGTTTTTAACCCGCTCACGGCCTACTCGCAATCTAAATCTACTCAAATTAACCACTCCCCTAACTTTACCCTCTATCCGCATTTGCCCCCCCCCTCCCCCCTCTCACACCCGCCTTTAAACCACTCCCCCTACGTTTATTCCTATACCCACCTTCGTGTTTACTAAAGGATAACCCCAAACACACCCCAAGTTAGAGTTTACCCCCCTTCTCCCACACCTCAGATTGTTTACCATTGAACGGGGACGGGAAAGGAGGTTACAATTTGAAAAATACCTTTTTATCCCCATTTAACCCCCCAACCAATTTTTTTTATTCCACACCTCCCCCCCATTTCGAAGCCTTTAACCACCCTAATTAACGACCCCCTAAGTTTTCCCTCTATCCGCATTGGCCATCTCCCACCCCCTCCCCCCTCTCATACCCGCATTTAAACCACTCCCCCCCTACGTTTATTCGTACACCCACCTCCATGTTTACTAAAGGATACCCCAAACACCCCCAAGTTACAGTTTACCCCCCTTCTCCTACCCCTCAGATTGTTAACCATTGAATGGCGATGGGAAAGGGAGGTTACAATGTGAACAACACCTATTTATCCCCATTTAAACCCCTCAACCAAATTTTTTTATTCCACACCTCCCTCCTTTTTGAAGTTTTTAACCCCCCTACTTAACGAACCCCCTAAGTTTGCCCTCTATCCGCATTTGCCCCCTCCCCCCCCTCCCCCTCTCATACCCGCATTTAAACCACTCTCTCTCCCCCCCCCCCCCTACGTTTATTCGTACAATCACCTCCATGTTTACTAAAGGATACCCTCAAACACCCCAACTTACAGTTTACCCCCCTTCTCCTACCTCAGATTGTTTACCATTGAATGGGGATGAGAAAGGGAGGTTACAATGAGAACAACACCTAATTATCACCATTTAACCCCCTCGACCAAATTTTTTTATTCCACACCTCCCCCCATTTCCCAGTTTTTAACGCGCTCACGGCCTACTCGCAATCTAAACCTACTCAAATTAACGACCACCCTTACTTTGCCCTCTATCCGCATTTGCCCCCTCCCACCGTCCCTTCTCTCAGGCCCGCATTTAAACCACTCCCCCCTACGTTTATTCCTACACCAAACTCCATGTTTACTAAAGGTTATCCCCAAACACAACCCAAGTTACAGTTTACCCCCTTCTCCTACCCCTCAGATTGTTTACCATTGAATGGGGATGAGAAAGGGAGGTTACAATGAGAACAACACCTAATTATCCCCATTTAACCCCCCAACCAATTTTTTTTATTCCACACCTCCCCCCCCCCATTTCGAAGCTTTTAACCCCCCTAATTAACGACCCCATTAAGTTTGCCCTCTATCCGCATTGGCCAACTCCCCCACTCCCCCCTTTCATACCCGCATTTAAACCACTCCCCCCTACGTTTATCCCTACACCCACCTCCATGTTTACTAAAGGTTACCCCCAAACACACCCCAAGTTACAGTTCACCCCCCTTCTCCCACCCCTCAGACTGTTTACCGTTGAACGGGGACGGAAAAGGGAGGTTACAATGTGAAAAATACCTGTGTATTACCATTTAAACCCCCAGCCAAATTTTTTATTCCACACCTCCCCCCATTTCGAAGTTTTTAACCCGCCCACGTTCAGTAAACAGAGAAGTGGGGGGTTAAACTAAGATGGAGGATGGGGGGTAAACTGAGGATGGGTAAACTGGGAACTGGGTGGGAGGAGAGGCGGGGGTAAACTGGGGAAGGGGGTTGTTAAAAAATTAAAAAGTAGGGTTGCTTCGATGGAGTTTACGTAGCATAGAAAAAGTGAGAAAACTTAAATAATTAAAAACTTATGTGGATACCAAAAACTTAGGAAAGGTAATACGTGACCACTGCCCATAAAAAAATCTGCAAAATTCATACATTCTTATGCAACAATATGATCGATTATAATCTACTAGAATGGATTACAATGACTAACAAAAAAATTATGATTACCATTTATTTTAATTGGGTTATATTCGAAAATAATCGATTATAATGGAATATTTTGATATTAAAGTTACTAGGGTTATAATCCTTTTTTCATAGATGATAATCAATTATTTTTGTAAATTTATAAATACTGACAATAAAAGCCCAATATAATCATTTTTCATCCATTAAACTCAATTGCGGGATCCCGAATTCACCAAAAATCGCTTTTTTTGTTTTTCCTTCTAACAATTTTGAATTTTCTTACAAATTTTCCTCTAGGAACGTTAACAGAGGGGAAATTTTTTGCCAGAAAGTTGTAACAGAGGAACTTTTTTGAAAAATTTTTTTCATCATTATTTTTTTGATTTTTTAAAAATTTGTTAGAGAAACAAACAAAAAGCACCATTGTCGCAACTTGACAGCGAACTACCAGACCTTACTCTGAAATTCCAGCAGCAGCCCCAAAGAAGTGGAACTTGGATAATAGGTTTTTGATTTTAATCCTTAGAGATATCCGAATTAGCAAAACATCTGAGAAAATTTGCCGGGGTGCGCCTCCACAGAAAAAGTGTCCGTCCTATTTTTTCATCTATAGAACGTAAGAAGAATGCTTTGTCACATGATTTTTGTACAGTTTTATAGAATTTTCTTGAAAATTTCAATCATTATTTTCGTTTATTTGACTGGTTTGAAGCCTTCCAGTCACCATGAAATAAAAAATGCTCATCTTAGAATTTCTTCATACAGAAACTGAACGGAAAGCATTTTTCTAAGGAAACTACTGATTACAGTTTAATTTTAAAACGTTTTCTAACTTATTTCGAATAAGTTTAACATGGTCCCTGTGCGTATTTTGGCGCGTTTTGAATAAAGTCACAGTTATCAATTTTTCTTCATTATTTGGAGATGAGATTAAGTATGTCAAAAAAAATCCCACATTTTTTAAATTAAAGGAAATTTTTCCAGCCAAAAGCAAAACGATGCACTCTGATCATAAAAATTGCGAGCTTCAATAAATTATGATAGGTAGAATTTTTTAATGCGGTGGTTTGGTGATATGCTGCCCATTTTTTTTTTGGATTTTCTAAAAGAAATAATCCTAGGGTACTTCGTTGTCGGTGAAAAAAACGCAAAGTAATGCCTATTTAATGGTGTCTAATGGAAAGTTAAAACCTTAAGTCTTTTCCATGACTCTCCTTTTCAGAATTCTAGTTTAAGCAGAAGTTTTTCATCTGAATATGTTCCCGGTTTGAGCTTTTTGAGCTTTGTAATGACTCTGTGGGTCGGCCGAATGTCCGCCTACCGACGAAATATGTAAAAGTCCATCAAAACAGTCGGTCAACCAGGGCCAAAACAAGAATCAACTAGGTTCGATCTGTTCGATAAGGTAGGTGAATGGGTTGATCAGCCTCAGTTAAGGTCCTTAATGTCGGTAGATGAGTCGACCGGCTTTAATTTTAGCTGACTATTATAGTCATATAAAAAGTGAAAGGAAACTACTGATTACAGTTTAACTTTAAAACGTTTTCTAACTACGGCAGAAGAAAACAGTATAAAAATCCTTAAAATGGTGGCTAATTCGAAAATTCATGAAAGAATAGTTTCGAGGTAGATGAAAAATAATTCAATAAAATCATAAATCCAAAACTGTAACAACTGTAAAACATAAATCCAAAAACGCTCACATTTAATGAAGAAAAACAAATAAACAATATCTTAACTATTCGACGTGTAAAATTGAAGTTAAACTCTATGAAGGTCAAACTTAATCCAGAACAAAAAAGCATATACCTTCGAATAAGTTCGCAGTTATCAATGGAGAGTGTAATTTATAAAAGCATAATTTAGTTGCAAGGTCAGCGAGATTCAGTGAAGTAGACCACATTCGACCAGAATCGGCTGATTCAATTATAGTCCGACTTAATTTGCGGAAATTTCATGCCTCAGAAAGTCATGCCACCCGTGTACTAAAGTAAGTGAATGGGTCGATCAGTCTCCCGGGTTGGCCTCTATAGACTAAAAATGTTAATCATAAAATTCCATTAACTAAGTCTATAAAAAAATAATTGACATACTAATTTCATACGTTTTGCTACAATGGTGCTATCGAACTTCCGAAGAACTTTTTTTGTGTTGGCATGAAATTTGGTGCATCTTACCAAATAAAAAAGAAAAACTCTTTGTCAAAAAACATTCATGTCTCATAAAAACGGATAATGTTTGACTCAAATTATTGTTTGACACTGACAATTTAGCCCGAAGAGTGATTGAATTGCTTTAATAGTTCTTAGTGCAAAATGAGTTTCTTCATTAAGAGACCAAACTGTGTATTTTATGAATTGTCAGAGGATTCGGCAAAATGCTGAATTCAGATTTGCCGAGGAAATCAGCTAATTAATCTTTTCGTCGCTGTTTTGATTTCCACGAAAAAAATGCTAAAGCACTGTTTGTTCGGAAGCGTTAAAAAATCGCCAAATTTGCAAAACAAAAACGTTTTTGTGGAAACTAAATTGAATAAAATTTATGCGCGTTGTAAAATTTTGCTCTCTCCTGGAACCTGCAAGTGTACGCAGATTTGCGTGAACAGCTTACCTGGATTGAAGAACAAAAGCTTAGAATACAATTCACTTCTATGAAAATGCTTGTCATACAATTTCTTACAAATCCATGGGTTAAAAATGCTAAAAAAAAATAGCACGATGAGCACTTTTTTCATACTTGGAACTGCATGACAAACGATTTTTTTTTCATGTAAATTTTCGTGTTTATATTTGTGTTTTTCCCTGAAAAACAAAACTGCAAGTTTTGTGAATGAAAAAATCAACGGGTGAAACAACATAAAAATTGCACAATAAACTACTTGTTGATAGATGCGAAGTAGGATTAAAAAATTTAATTTCACACAAAATTTTTTGAAAAAGTGCAATTTCTCGTATGTGACTGCGAGGCTTCTTTTTCGAAAAATTCGTGGCTTAGTTTTTCGCGACAACTGTAAGCTATGATTTTTTGTATCATACTGAGAAATAGATTTTTTCATCCTTCTAGACGCTGGAATGAAAATGAAAATTTGAAAAAACAAGAAAATGAAAACTCAAACATGAAAAATATACATGCAGGAAACAGCTTTTGGAAAATGTTTTTCCTCAATAACAAAACTGGTTTAGCGACCAAAATGCGAACTTCAAAACAGTTTCAATATTTTGGAGTTTTCTTTTTTCTTATTCTTACACTTATAATAAAAAAGGAATCGTACGACAAACATTTTTTTGCCCAAAAAAAATTAAAATTTGATGACCAATATGCTCTTTTTCAATTATAATCTAAGATAAGCCCATTTATATTTCATATAGAAGTCCTTATAGAAAAGTTTAAAAAAAAACATTCAAGTAGGAAAGTGGTCATCATACAGCTTTCATAATTGGGAACTGTATGATAATCATTTTTATCATTGAAACCCAAGCACTGAATGCTATGATAAACTTTTTTTTGTGTGAAGGTCAACCCAGATATTTACTTTTGAGGTGTCAAAAAGCAATTGGTACATTTGTTCTTTGCGAAACTGTAGACACATTTAATGTGCCAGTAAAATTTTCCCTACACGTAATTTATGCGCAAAAATCCATGAAAAATCTATAATTGGAATCAATTAAATTTTGGAACTTGTTGATAGGCTCGTCTCTAGATTCCAGTGATCTTCACACACCAAACAGTGCGCTTATCTAGTGCAGAGTTTGGCCTCAAAATGTTAAAGTTTTCAGAATGGTTTCCTGGCTGAGTTTTTTTATTGATCGTAGACAGTTTTTTTGTTCTCACTCAAGAAAAGATACATACAAACAACATCAGACTACCAGCATGATTCACTTCAAACTCTCAATTTTACTGGATGACACATTCATTCAGACAAATCCAGGGCTGGGCCCGACACATGACATTGTGTTTGAAAAACCGGAACTCGATTGAGTTGGGCGGGTAGATTTTATCGACTGGGAATGAGGCGACGGCCCCGGGAATTTCCGGGAAAACCAATGGGTGGTCGGAGTTGAGTTCGAATCCATCATAGACGAAGGGTGCTTCTCCGAAGCCCACATGTGTAACGACATCCACACATCTGGAAGCATCGTGCACAGCCTGTAATGAGTCATAGTTGACCATTAATGGCTCATTCTTCAAACTCATTTTTATTAGGAGATAACTATGGCCTAATTTTGTTAACGAATCCCTTCACTCTCGAACAATTTAGGTAATCATTTTGCATTGGCTTTAGCTTCAGCTATTCAAAATAGGATAAAAATGGCTCATTAATAGAACAAAAATTGCTAGAACAACCTTTTTCTTTGCAACTGTTTCTGCTTTTGAACCAAACTTGTAAGTAAATTTATCGAAACCTCAACCGAAAAATTTTTGCTCACATATTGCATTTTTGGTCGGTTTTTATTCAAAAAGTTGTCTATAGTAAACAAAATTCAAATGATTAGCGGTAAATTCATTCCCAATGCTTATCGTACATTTTCAAGCTCTGGAAAATGCTAACTATACGGTTTTATAGAATGAGCAAAATGAGTAAAAAGAGCAACATAAGCATTTTTTTTACATGCTATAAATAATTATAATAGCACTTTTCTCCACATAACCAGTTTCCACGTAAATAACAAGCTTTTTGTAATTTTTTCATCACAAAATTTGTATGAAAAAGCAAAAGCAGTTTTTTTATACTATGAAATTATACGAGAAGTTCTTTTTAAAAAAAACTGTTGAAAATTTTTTTTATCCAAAAAGGCACTAACCAAATTTTATCTATTATGAAAAAACCAAGAGTGTAAGTGGCAATAACCAAGCATATAAACTGCATTTCATGATACTAGCCATTTAGGTTAATTTTCACATAACTTTTATACCAAAAACGACACTTTTTGGCGTTTGGCTAGAAAGTTTTTAGTTCAAAAATTTCTGTGGCATTTTTCCAAACATTAAGGCTTATCTCAGCAAATGAAATCAGAATAAATTAATTGTGTTCATAGAAAAAAAACACATGCTTGTTCAATTCTTGGGAATTTTGGGTTAAAAACTCAAACTGGACGTCGTTTTAGACACAAAACATCAAACTTTGATGGCAATGTTTTTTTTTCGTAAGTGTTTCATCTTAGCAGAAAAGCATTTTTTCAAAAAAAAAATACAGCGAAACCCAAAAAATTCGTGAAGTTTGGATTTTTTCGATGTCATTGTTTGGCAATTTTCATGAAATTGTATGATAAGCATTGTTTGGTTGAAAAAAGTTTTTGACACCAAACTTGCTCTCTTGTAATCAAAGCTGTCGCCAATTTTTATTGTTTAAGTTTTATTCCAATTTCAGTTAAATTTAAATAAAAGTTTTGGTTCGAAAAAAAACTTGTTTATCACGCATTTAATCCTTGCTTTTGTTTGAAAAGCATTTTTACATAGATTCCACATATAAAACTGCATGATAGTCATCTTTTTGAATGAAGCTGACCCAAGGTTGATTCGAAAACTTAGTTTATTCGATGATAATAAACTTTCTACAAAAAATTTCGAATTGTTTCTAAAAATCAACCCTATCGTCGAGATCACAATATATTAGCACGGGAAATTATCGGATTGTTTCAAAGAAAATTTTTGATTTAGGGTTGGTGATCATTCATAATCCTGTGAAAAAATGATCAAACAAGCTCGATTAGAATCAATTATAGCTAATTATAATCAGTTTAAAATAGTTTGTGTTGTTTAATACATTACTTATTACCTTCACTAATTCTATACCTACTCATAATCATAATCTTTCCTTTCTTAGAACCCTAACTTAGCACCATGAGCCCATGAATTCTACACCACAAACTCCCCTCGGCATACGCACTCATACACACACACACACACACACACACACACAATTGCCACGCAAACTTCCACAACGCTAGATCCTATTTTATCCCCACCCCCTTGTCCCCAATTTTTCCCTTCCAAACTTGAAGTAGAGAGGGTTTACGCCTAGGTGATATATAAATGTTGGAAAAATTAGAATAGGGAAAGCGAGCAAAATGATTTGGTTCAAATAAAAATCAGTTAAATTAGGAGAAAACATGTTTACTAAATCCGATACTAATTTAGGATAACTTACGCTCGATTTCTTTCGCGCTATTCAAGCTTGAGCGGAGATCTCATCTGTCATAAAAATCGAAATCAATCCATTTCGGTTAAAGCACGGAACTTGTCGTAGAGGTAAAGTGACTAGAAGCCCAATATTAATGATTTTTTTTGTTTAAAAATCTCGTTTTTTTTTTAATGAGAAAACTTCACATATCATTTTTTCTAGAGCAAACAATGCTCCATAGAACTTAAAAAGCACCTTTGTTGTTGTTCTCAAGGAAAATAACGGTATACTTGTGCTCAGGTGTTTTTTTTTTCTGCAGACAGTTTTCGTCTTTTCACTTGCGGTTTTTGACCATTTTTATTATATCATTCAAAATGCTTTGTTGTCTTGAGCTTTAATTTAAACAGATATTACACCTGTAATCATTTTTCTTATAATTATACGGGTTCAAAGATAGTCATTTTGGCCACTTAAGGACGATTAACGCGCGATATATTTCGCGCTATTGACGCGGAAGCCGAAATGTACTCGAATTTATTTTTCATTCCAATTTGCGTAAAAGAAGCTTATTTGCCACTAGGAGCAAAATTTATCGCTTTGTATTTCATATGGCCGTAGGGGAAGATTCGCACAATCGTTTAATTTTTTTGCATTTAATTTTTTCAAGTTATTACTGCTCCATAGACTTTAAAAGGCAGTCGGAGCATTCAAGACTTTGCCCTGATACGCGCAGTCTTGTTTACTTTTTTTGCTTGGTTTGGTTATAAACGGCTGTTAGCTTTCGTGAGCGGCAGTGATTTTTAATGATTGAAAAATTGAGCAGCTGCGATTTTTAAATCGTTGCTGAAATTTTTTCCTTTTTAGGAAAATTAAATCCTCATGTTTACCCGAAGATAGTTGAGTTGTTTTCCAGTCTCAGTATAGTCTGTAAGTTTCTGGCAGTAGTATTCAGGGCCCATTTTGAAGCCCTCATAACCGAACATCGAATACACAAATGTTTGATCACCGCAGCAATCTTCGTCTGGAGTCGGATAGTCTCGATCCCATCGAGCTAAGCAAAAACAGAGAAGGATAGGCGGTTGTTGTTCAAGTAACACAAAAAGTTCTGACCACAAGAATACAAAAAATACATGTCTTCAAATCAGTGTCGTTTCCGTGCGTGGTGTCCTACTATCCAAACGCGTAGAAAGTAAGTAAAATAGGAAAAATTTACAGCTTTGTCTCCAAAAAACGAGTAAAAAACCAAAGTTTTTAAAATGTATTGCCAAAATTTTGCAAATATTCCTTTAGAACAGCTTTTTTGCACAGGAAAGTTGAAAAACTATTTTCTTTTTTTAAAAATCAAAATTGGATAAACCAATAGCATAGTAAAATTTGACTTTTTTAATAATAAATGTTACTTGATCCGTTGACTTACTCGAAATTAGTTTAAAACTCAGAAGTTTTAATGTAGTTTTTCTCAAAATTGGGACAATTTATAAGGAATGTCGTTTAATTCACAGTTGAATTTTCATTTTGATAGGTCACTTAACTCATTCCAATGATTTTTTCTGATAACTGATTTTGTATGGATATCAAAAATTTCTCCCCGATGACAATGGTCGGAACAATAAAAACTGGGCGATGAAAATACCATTTCTGAAAAACAATCAAATTTATGTGGTTTAGTTTTTTTGTTATGACCATTGAAAATGGGAAGGATTTTGTAATCGGGTAATACTAATTTTTCTTTTTCCTTTTTTAAAAATTTTTTTTCTTCTTTTTTTCTTTTTGTTCTCGATGGCCCTTTCCTTCGTGATTCGAACCAACCGAAGTAATTTCTAATTTTTTCTCCAAAGACGAGAAAAACCGGTTTAAGTTTTTGATTCTAGTCTAAACTTGAGCGAATAGTTTTAGCGAGCAGGCTAACAAAAGTTTATTTTTTTACTCTATTAATTAAAATTGTTCTTTGTTTTGTTATGCGTCACTTGGAAACTATAAAATTCAAAAATTGGATAAGTTTTCGCGAAAAAAAAAATGTTTTTGAATTTTTCTTTGATATTTTTTGCTTAGTTTTTTTTCTACAGTTTTTGACTATTTTACTATGATTTCCGAATTTTTTTTTAAAATCCAGTGTTTTCCTTCAGACTTTTTTATCACACCACGGAGAAACAAAACGACACTTATTCGAAAAAAAAATTTTTTCTTCCATTTTTAATTATGGTCGGAACTTTCTGTGCTACTTAAACAGTAACTGCCTATCCTGTTTTCTTTTCTTTCTTTTTGTTTTCCATGCAAAATCAGGTACCATAAATAATCAATGAATTGGGTATAAAAGCCTTTCAGTCGTGATTGGAACAACATAAAAAACCCAACGTTTTTTTCTTACGTTGAGAAAAACTGTTTTGAAATTTTTTTCCGTCCTAATTCGAGCAAATAAAGCAAGCGAGCAGGCTTACAAAAGCTTTTTTCAAAAGTATAGCCTCTGATAGCTTAAATAAAAACGTTAACACTTAGTTTACTCAAGTAACGCAGTTATTTTGAGTAGTTTAGTGGAACCTGATCTAAACTATATTTTATGATTGGATAAATTAGATATTTTACCACTGTAAAGTATTTAATATTAACCAATCATGATCCATCTAACTAACAACCCGCTTAATTGTAAGTGCTGAAATTACTTGTAATTTCAGCACCAGAGAGATTTGAATTTAACTTAGAAATTAGTTGTCTCTCCGAGAGAACTTCAGCAGCCTCAACAAACCAGTATACCCTAGATCTAGTGAGCTTAGAAGAGACTAGTTAAACACCCTGAGACTAGAAAGTATAAGAGTAAGATTAGGATCGATATTAGACTAAGAAGTTGCACGAATCTATCCGGCCGAAAATAAGATAGCGTGACGAGCAGACGGTGTACCCTATCCGAAATTACTCTATGAGTTAACCACATCGGTCATAACTCATCTGGTGCAACCATAAGTCTCGAATAAGACCTTAATAGCTTAGAACTAACCAAAAATAGATTAGAATTTAGACAAAACATTTTCAAAATGTTATACGATAAAAATTTAATCGAATAGTCTCTACGACTCAATAGATCAGAACCGATATTCCGAACAATAATAGAACTACTTGGAATTGGAAGAAGACCTCGAACAAGAGACGACATACGACAAAGTAGAAGCTTACCAAATAGTTTTATGATCGTACGGCAAAAGCCAACACAAACTTTTATATTTAGAATCTTATTAGCAATGAATTTAGATTTTCATCTGCAAACATAAAATTTTGAAGTCAATCTTCATGATCATTTCAGGCGCTAAACAAAATTATTAATGTACAATAACGATTGATAAAAAGATCTCAGATCGTTTTCTTAATTTCTGCAGTCTTATATAAAACATATTTGAAAAATATTTATTGAAAATGAAAATAAAAATTAATAGCTTGACAATAAATTGTTAGTTATCATAAAATCATCTGTTGTCCCAGCTTCATCACCTAAACATAACAGCAATCATAAACTCACTTATATCATTAAAATACTAAATTTTTTCTTAAATAAATTTAAACCATTTTAAACTTAAATTCACTTAATTTTAAAATCAGATCATCAAGGCTTATCCTTGGATCTCAATTAATTTTCTATTTCACTAAATTTAAAACCTGATCATCAAGGCCTATCCTTGGATCAAAAAGAACAATTTTGTTCTCCCCCACTCACTTAGCAAGTGTCTAACGACCTCAAACGTCGATTCACTACCCAATCTTTCCAAAAGACCCAAGACTAATAGAAATTTTTAAATAAAACTAACCATTCAAATTAGGATAAACAGTGAAAAACTTCGGTTATTCATCCTTCACTTGAACCCTCCTCTTACCAGATCCAGGATAGATCTTAGACTTAGTAAGTTTAAAATAGTATCTAACGAACTACTTGCGTTCTAATTATACCTGAACCTTGTGGATCGATTTACTATTCTCCAACCTCTGAACACAATCACTACCCCTAAGTTAGATTAAGTAAGTTAACACCTTAGCTTAGACTAGCCACGAGAAAGTAAAAAATTATTCTTCGGAATCGATATACTTTTCTCTCCAACCCTAAATAAAAAGACCCAGGTTAAGCTAACCAAAAAATCGTAAGGACTAACAGTCTAAGAAAATAGAAATACCTAACAACTTTTTGCATCCCTCATCCTAAACCTTATGTCATTCAAAAGTCTAGGAAATAAACAAACAATCGTTTTACACAACTGTGAGATAGATAACAAAAAATACGATCTTGTCATCACACCTCATACACAAACAGTTGGATACATTAGAACAAAACGACAAACAAAAAAAAGAAAAATTATAAACAAACAAAGACAAATCAAACGAAAAAGATTTTCAAAAAATAGAAACGCATTTTCAGAATCAGAAGCCAGCAATTTAGATGAACTCTACAAAATAAAAAAATCAATTGATAAAAATTGTCCCATTCACGATCAATTATATTTTTCCGATTCAGAAACAACTCCAAATTCATCAAAAAGAGGAAAAAGAAGAATAAAAAAGCAATACAAACACAAACCAGTACACTTGTATAATTGGAATCAACCAATTAGACACATCGATAGCTATATATTAACAGTCATCAAACGAAAAAATGAGCCACACTCAAAGTGACGATAGTCCAGATGACGAAGAGATTTACCACTTCCTCATAGATGCACCCGATAATAGAGGGCAGCATGATTTTTGCAAGAAATTACTCGTAAATGTGTTTGAACCCGGAATCAGTCCATGCAAAGCAGAATTCCCAGATGTAAAAATCAAAAGACAAATTATTGAACATTATTTGAAAGACATATGTAACTTAACACAACAATATGGAATCTACACCATCACAATGAGCAAACTCTATATTCACTAATGAAGTTTTTGCAATAATATATACCTATATCTCTAATTAGAAAAAACAGAATTTCAATTTCCTTACAACATTATTTTCTTACAACTTACAAAAAATTTGTAAGGAAATTACAAAAAATTTTGGCATGGTTTATAATAGATTGTTTCACAAATAATTTAGACTTAATTTCACAAGCAAGAAGAAATTTCAGACCTCAAAATTCAAATGTTGACACTGCCATTACAGAAAAATCAGACTACGTTTGGGACCCTGAATGGTCTCATCCTACATTTATAAATATCCCACAATCCATCTCAAGTCAAGCAATAGGTACAATATCTTATCACAGAGATTACGTAAAAGTAATACCACTAACCATTGATGCAACACCATTAAACTACAATACATTTTTACCTGACACACGAAATAACAGTTTAAATTTGACCGTCATACACAATGAAAACCTTAATGGAACTAGAAATCTTACACAACAAGATATTCAAACACCATCACACTTCATAAATGAAGAAATTGTCCAAACAACAACAACTACACAACAAAGTATTTCACCAATACACCCAAATTTAACAACACCAAGAAATACAAATACTTCACTGGCACAAGTAACCTTACAATCAACCGTTAAACCTTCGGTTGCTCCAAAATATTCACATATGGATTATCAAACATATAGACCCATGACAGTACCATCAAAAACACAAAAATCATTCACAAGAAACACCTTCGCAGAACATAATTATAATTATGCTCACAAACAAAGAACAAATCAACCCCCACGAAAAAATAATAATCATGTATGTTCTCACTATTGGGATAACCCAATGACAACAACCAACTCAGTAAATTTTCGAACTAATTCACATCCTCCTCAGGATCATAGTGAAAATTACCCATTCTTTCAACAAAATAAAAATAAAAGCAAGCACCTCATCATACGGATTATTTATCATCTGATGATGATTATTTACAACCAGACATTTTTGCACCATATACCCAAGAATATCGCACACAAGGATCGCGACGACCTCATACATATAATAGAATTTTTTCTCCAAACCCAACAGATACACGAAATCAACAACCAATACATATGCCAAATCCAACTAATACACAATCTTTTCAACCGATTCAACCACAAAATCCAATGATCACAC